CGGTGGCATGCCTGGGGATTACCCTCATGCTCAGGTTGCAGGGGAGACCACTTTGGGGTGACTGCCCTAGTGGGATCCAGCAACCTGTCATCCAAAGGTTTTCCTGTGACCCCAGCCATCAGACTGGGGCAGCCAGCAGTTCATCGACTGGCAGGCGGGTCAGTCAATGAGCAGGATCCGGTTCCCCATGTTGTGCCAATGCTTACTACAGCTGTAACCAATAAAGTTGTGGCCAATTTTATTCCACTTTTCTGAAAAACTGTCTGTGGTCCCATTCATACTTGCCAGGAAATGCGGGGGGAGGCGTGGCTGTTTGCGGTGGTACAGCGTGTCCCGCTGCAAATGTGATCAGACACGACAGCAGTTTCCTTCATTGGCGCACGTTCCTGGCACGCTCCAACGACACAAGAGGAGCGCGCTGGAGCGATCATACAAGGAGAGTCCAGCAGCGGCCCATCACAAGCCGTTTGCTAGTGGACTTTCGGAGGTAGGTTTTTACTCCGCATCTTCGGCCGGCTGCGACAGGTGCACTACGCTGGCCAGATGTTGCTGTATGATCACGCCTTTATAATCCGCCCGGCATTCGTTCCGCTCCCGCAGCAACTTCTGTGACTGATCGGAGCCTGTGTGTGTGTGTGTGTTATTTCAACTGGGGCTGTAAGCAGGATGTTGGATAGGGGGAAAACCTCCAATGCTTTCCTTGCCCTTCCCCTTGGGTTGGGGCCACAAATGCAATTTATTCAGACACAGTTTTGAGCATTGGTATAATGCTGATAGAATGTGTGGTGGAGAATGTATAATTAGTGGCTTTGAACAAATTGCGGTTCACAAAGAAGAGCTCTTGTCAGTATCATGAGCAATCATGTTTGACTACAACTTGAAATAAGAAGTTCTCATATTGCAATTAAGCACTGCCAGCTATATTTAATTATCAATATTTCAGGCTGTTTTCCCAATACTGTATGTGGGTCTGTCTTTTGAAGTCTGAAGACTTCAATTGATTCAAAATGTAGTAGCAAAATTGCTTGTTGGTATTGTAGCATTTTACCAGGGATTAGCCAGCAGCGGATTTGCACAAAAGCCCAGGTGGGAGCAATCATAAGCAGGGTGGAGGCAGAGGGTCCAGGAAATAAAAGAGAGACACACAGGAGTTTAAAGGAGGAAGAAGATGGGGCTGGAGTGCATCTTCCAGGAGATAAGACCATTTGAGGGAAGGATAGGACAGCTGACAGAGGCTACAGGAATCTGGACTGCACAGTAATAGCCACGAGTTTGGGAAAGATAATCGGAAAAGTGCAAACCTTGGCATTATCAGAGAAGGTGAAGTAAAACATGCTTCCCACAGAAAAGCAAACAAGAAGATAGCCAGCAGCCTTTCTACAGGAGACCAAACTGGCCTCGAGGGAGGGGCTATCAGAGTGTCAATGAGGACCGACGCAATTGTAAATGGAGAAGCAACTCAGGTGAGCGACTCTGGTGAACAGGGGAGCTGAGTAATTTGCCATAGAGTAGCAGAGGAGGTCTAGTTGCTCCTGGGGAGATGCCTGGTGGTGATAGTATAAAGTGGCTAAATAAAGGAGCACCTGATTCACAGTCCTTGGCATTTCTGGCCTTTATGACTCCCTGAAAAATGGTGGGGACTGTGTGAACCACTACAGGTATAGATTAAATGGAATATATTTCATGAGTGTTGACAGAACTATACGGGCTGTGAATTTGTTTCCTGTAACAGTTCAAAGCCCTAAATGCTATGGAACTAGGGTACTTAAAGGACCATGCTCCTGTCATATGAACCTTTTTGGCAGCTGAGATAGTTCCCAGAGGTCTTGTTCTATGTGCCTTACTTTCTGAAGGAAGATGGTTGATGAACTATCAGACAAAAAGGACTTTTTCAATTGTTGCTCCCCATCTTGGTATCTCCCTCTCTGTTGAAATTCACCGGGCACCAGGCTTTAGGGTCTTTTTATTGTTTTTTCAAGGAATTGTTAGTGGCTATTTATATACAGTTTTGTTCTTAATGCTTGCTTTTAATTTTTACTCTGGTTTCCTTTCTTCTGCCAACTGTTTTGGTAATTTTTGAATTTGAATGCTCCTGTTTTATTATAAGGATTTTATTTCTTCAGTTTTATGGTATCATAATTAATGTTATAGTGCAATCTTTTTCTGATTTATGTTTCTGTTTTTATCCTGCTCATTTTCATTTTGTTACTGTTACAATGTTCTTGGTGGGACACAGAGGCGTTTGAAAACTGCAGCTGCCTTTCACATTTTTGTGCATGTCGGGCCAGTTCCAGTGATTGTACTATTGGTGGGATCAGTGCAGACTTCCCATCATGGTTCCTGTCCTGGGGGGTGGGTGGGTTTCTTTTGCACATGCGCTGAACAGTTTCAACATTTCGGCAGCATTCTCACTCTGCCTATCTTCCTTGGAACACATGGGCAGGGGGTGATCCCCTCTCACGAGAGTAGCCCTATTAGTGTCAGTATATTTACTTTTGTGTAAAGCATGGGGGCTATTAAACAGCAGACAATATAATTTATTTGCTCAATCACTTGTCCCCTGAGATTTTAAAACTGAAAACATGAAAATAATGTAACAAAAAGAAGGGTTTTCCACACTGTGGAGAAAGGTGCAAAGGGTCAAGAGATGATTTGGTAGATGGTGGGAATATTTGGAATTCCAGACTCTCCCCCCCCATATCTCTGCAGGGGGAAGGTAGTGGCAAGCAAGCTCCACGCATTCTCAGGCTGTAGAAGAAGAGAGAGGCGGAGAGAGGACAGCAGACCAAACCCACCTACCCACCCACCCCACACACACAAGGCAAAGCAGAGGAAGGCAATGGGAATGACTGTTTATTTCACTCTCTCACACACGCACACATGCTCACAAGGCAGAGCAAAGAGGAAGGTGCCCCCAATGGGAATGTCTGCTTGTTTCAATGCAGGCATCTTCTGATACTGACATTTTTCACTACTGGCATGCAATTTTTTTTTTAAAAAAAAACACCAGCCCAAAGGCGGCAATCCTCAAGGTGGGTGGGTGGGAATGTTCAGATTCCCAGGAAGAGGCTTTTTTGTGAATGCATTTTACGATGAAAATAAAAAGTATGGGAGAAACCAGTTTTAAAAGGAACAGGGAAAAATTGGGAAGAAATGGAACAGCACTGAGATGTTTACAAAGTCTGAACAGAAGGAAAAAAAAAACCCCAGTAACACTGTGTAATGAAAGCAGAATTTTAAGGCAGTCTGAAAAATGCCAGATTTTTGGTAACAATAGCTTAAAAAACTGTTCTCCTTTAATACCAAGGCCCATCCCCAAGAGTGAGATATCATCTCCTGACAACCTTACCTGCCATGGATTATCCATCTATGACTTTTTGGCATCCTAGTAGTAACCTTGAATAGTTACTGTTCCTCCTAGTGCCCCATTTCCCCCCACCAGCAAGTGTCTTTCATGTGCTACTTCTTGCTGATCCTTCCTGACAGGGTTTATCCATTGTGCTTCTGCCTTTCCTCCATTCCCCCTGGTCACCATTCTGAGTCAGGCATTGTCCTAATAATCAAAGCAACTGAAGAATATGTAGAATCTCTAAATATATTCTTAGTCAATAAAGCAGTCAATTTTCCAAATTGTGAGCACAACCTCCATCTGTGGTAGGTTAGAAGCACTGTCCCTTTTCCCCTCTTGTTTGTCAGTTGCATGATTCCCCAGTGTTTTGCTTTGTATTTTACAGCTACCATAGCGGTAAAATTTATATTCAGTACTATTACAATTTTCATCTACTAATGGAATTACTATCTTTGTTTGTGCTTTAGAGCAATAGAAATTACTCCCAACATTACTACTGCAATTTTAAGCCCTCAAAATTTACTATTAAAGATAAATACAACAACAGAATGACCATAAACATATACATGTCCTTCATGAAAAAGTGGGCTTTTTGTTTCTCTCATAGTGGGGCCCAGATTGGTGGGACATAAAATATGAAAGGTTGAGAATTGTTGTTCTAGATTAGGATAAAAAACTTTTATCCATTTGGTCCAATGTCTATAATACAAGAGAGCTCTTTCTAACATAGACATTATGTATTTTGACATTTAAATACTCATAACAATCCACGAAAGACATGTGTAATACTGAGCAATCAGTTAAAACCTTTAACTGTTTTTAAAAATTAATACTACTATAGATGAATGTCTGTACATTCTCTGAACTGCCTACTCATCTAACCTGCTGCACCAGTGAATCTGCTTTTCTAACACTTCTTTTTTGATCTCTATCTATTTTTTACTTGTGTAACTTTGCAACATGTAGGAAACCTCTTGATGTAGCCAGGTGGTTTTTTTTAAATTTAGAACATGACACCAACAAGATCAAGCCTGAAAATATTTCCAATAGGAATTAAAAGGGCTCCTTTCCACAGCAAAAATAGAGGGCTATCAATTCTTGCCTTGCCTGCCCATGTGAAATAGTGGGTTCTTGTCTCTGATGTCGCAATTTTGTTTCAAATAGCCTTGATGATGGCAGGGTACACGAGAATGATAAAATCATAAGGATGACAGCCTAATCTTCAAAGATGAGCGATCACAGATAAAACGTTAAGTAACTCAGCATTTGAAATACCACATTATCTGTCTCCTGGCACAATGTCTGTGTACACCCCCTGCCGAGTTCTTTAGAGATGTCACTGACATGTAAAGATGCTACGTCTTACATACTTGAATTGCTACAGAGAGTTCTGTTCCTTGAAGCCATAAGACTGAGAAAAATATTCTCTTATCTGAAATATTAGTTAATCAAACATATGTCTTCCAGATAGGCAAAGTATTTAGGCATATACAAGGTAAATATATTTTAGAGTGGCTAGTTAAAAAGTCTAAAATAGTTAATTTTGCCATATAATTAGCACTCACAGTGGGCTGCCAATGGGTTAGTGATTATTAAACACCTTTTATTATCAGTTTTATGTACTCCAATAAAAAAGAAAAAGCATACTTACAAGAATTATTAGACATGCTGGTCCTATAAAACTCCATATAAAATTATTCTTTGTGCTGAGCCAACATCTGAAAAGTAAACAGCACATAATTCCTTGAAATGTATTTAATGATTATCTATCAGCATGCATGGATGCAACTCAAGTTGAATCCTTCCCCCATTTTTTCTGTCTGAGAGCTCCATGGATCAGACAGGAAGTAGCTTCCTTTGCCACTAACAGTGTTGATCAGAGGAAGGAACTGCAGGCAGTTCAAATTGGTAGATAAGCACCAAAGTGTAGAATCTCTCTGGTCCTCATAAACATCTGATTCTAGAGATTCAATCCCACTATATTAGCTGCTATAAATTTCCCATAATACTTGACTACTACTTGGATACTGACCACTAAGCCTTCCCATCTAGTGTCTCACTGATGTTTATTTTACTTGTTTATTTTTTTAAGTTTCTAACCGGTCTTCCCCCATCCTTCAAAGAGACCCAAGAAAGCTGTAACCAGTGTAAGTGCTCTTCCCCTGATGGGAGAGCAGATATCCATTAGAAGACGTTAGGCTAAGAAATGTCATCAAATGCAGCGTAATTCTTCTTCTATTGCAAGGTATAGGCCTGGTTTCTTGACAGGAGAGGAAAATGCAGCAGCTGCTGCTGCTACAGACTTCCTATTAAGGTCTCAGTTGTGACCAGTGTTCCCTCTAAGCTGAGTTAGTGTGAGCTGGCTTACAGTTTTTTAGCCTCCGGCTCACACATTTTTGTCTTAGCTCAGGGAGGATGGCTCCAGAGCAAACTCATTTATGCAGTAGCCAAATCATTCTCTCACAACTTTAATGCCAGTAGCTTACAAAGTAGAATTTTTGCTCACAGGCCTCCATAGCTTAGAGGGAGGATTGGTTGTGACTCCTCTCATAGGGGCACTGCCTGGCTAGTGAATGGTCCTGTAAGGCTGACCTGCTTCTGCTTTATAGCCTCAACAAGCTAGAGGACAGAGAGCAGCTACACAGTGAGACAATAGCCTGCAGTAGTCTTTTCACTGGTGCTCTCCTCTCTCACAGGTCCCATGAAGCTGCCCAAGGCTCCTTGACTCTGGTGGGGTAGCAGGCAGACAATGAGATGAAGTGAAGTGAAGTTAGTGAAATTCTCCAGCATAAGTGTACCTTCAGTTTATCCCTTCCCCAACCACACTGGCTATAACAGGGCAACCCACTAAGAACAGGGAATCCAGCTTCAGTTTATACCTGTTGGCTGAACACTGGTATGTTTGTTGCCTACCATAAATGGTAGTTTCAATCCAACTACACAAAAACATCAACAAAACCAAAACACCTTAAAATCACAATGTACCAACATCTTCAGTGGGGCCCGTACTGGCATCTGCCACACCTTGCCAAGCTGTGGAGCTGAACATTAGAGGCAGAGATCTGAGGCTCAAAGGTTACCAGATGTACAGTTTGTTATTGGTCCAGTTACTGTCTAAAAGACAGAAAGGTACAGATGCTAAGGAATAGTGAGTTGAGAGACAGTGTGGTACAGTATTTAGAAGGATGAACAAATGAGAGACCTGGATTCAACTGCCCCCCCAGTCAAGAAGCTCACTGGGTGGTCTTGTACCAATTACTGTTTCTCAGTCTAGACTATTTCACAAAGTCATCTACCACATTTTTATCTCACATTACCACATAAACTGCCTTCAACTGAGTTCAGACCATAGGTTCATCAAGGTCAGCTTTGTCCATTATTACAGACAATAGCTCTCCAGAGTTTCAGACAGATGTTTTCCACATCACCTACTAGTTGATCCTTCTAACTGGGATTAAATTTGTGATCTTTTGCACTGAACCAGTCTCTTCCACAGCTCAGGATACCCTCAGCTAAATCTGAGATAAATGTTTTAAATCCTTCCAGTATAAAGGGTTCAGCAAGAGGAAAAGATAAAAGTATAAAAAAGAGGAGGCAACCTGATTAAGACAAGAGATAAGCTTCAGTAGAGGAGAGACCTTAAGAAGGTGAACATATTTTTTGTTGATTAACTGGTGGGTTTTCAGAACAAATGTTGGATAATGGCAACATTTGCAGTGCTAATAATTTGTAAACTTTGTTTGCTGGAGAATGGACAGCCATCCACTCTCTCCTAAAAGTAGATCAACACAGTCTAAAGCTGACAGTGATAGGAGGATGCATATCACTATGAGCTCTTTGGAGGAATAGGGATAAATTTCAAATAAATAAAGTTCACACACTAAAGTATGTACAAAAATACATGGACAACTCACTGTAAAACAGAGTAATGTGAGATACCAAGTTTTGCAATGATGAAAATATGTTTTGACTTACACATCCCTGAAAAAAAAATGTTATTTCAAAACTATCCATAATAAAAGGCAACATATAAAAACAATGACCTACACATCAGTTCTTCTATAATACTTGTATCCTAGTGCAGCAGAAATTCCAACAACCACTGCTGGGCTTACATAGCCGAAGATATAGAAATTCTTGTGAAGGAATCCTTTATTGTATATTACTCCAACGACTATCAAGTAAAGGTGAATGCCTTCAATGCACATCCATGCAAAGGCAGCTAAGAGGAAGTAATGGAGTAATCCTGCGGTGATTGAACAGAATAGCTAAAAGAGGAAACAGAAAGCAAGGTAAATGAATAACATAAAAGACTTTGTGTATGTCAAACTAGTTTAAAAAGAATTGATACCAGTATAGAAGAAAACCTGTTCCACTGAGATTTTTTTCTCAGTATAAAAATATCCATGCTTCTCATTACTTTTCTGGAAATACATAGGGTAAACACCGCACCTATTCAATTTTTTTTAAAAAATCAAGCCACATATCCATTTCTTATCTGCCATGCACATGTAAGTCCATCCAGGATATCAACTGCCCCTGCTAATCATATACATTTTGCAATAAACAAACACATTGTAAACTTTTAACTGGATATAAACTGCAGATATCTTGGTAGGTATGTGAGCTTCTATTCTAATTCAAAAGCGTGCCATAGTGTATGCATTCAACAGATCAGCAAAATGGAGCTAGGGCCAAATAGGGGGATTTCACTACAAATTTAAAGGATGGCCCAAGTTTGCAGAAAAATCTGAAACCATAAATAAATGCATGGGGAATTAAAACCTCAAAGAATGGTAGAAACAATACCTGCAGGTTTAAGAAAAGAATGCCCACTGATATCTCAGTGGCCATTCTGGAGGTTGCCAGACAACCTGAACAATATTGCTGAGACTTCCAAGCCTTGGTTTCTATAAAGCAATTATGGGTATCGGGATGTACTTGGACAAAACCTTTGAAAGTGTCCCATTTCACTTCCCTGTCATGTCCCCTGATGGAGCAGGACTTGCCAAGAATAAGCCTGGTGGTAACTACTGGAGGCACATGAGCCACACTATCCAGCCCATGACAGCAGCCACTGTTCAACTAGCCTAGCCTAATGGCAGTGGTGGTGGCCCCTACACAACAGGTCCGAGCCAGATCTAGTGGTGGAGGTCTCCACACAACTAGGCTCAGGCCAACTGCCACTGTGCAACTGGGTCCACTGGGGGACTTTGGGGGGTGTTACTGGAGGGGGTGGGGAGTCCCAGCATGATGACATCACTCAGAAGTAACATCATCACATTGGGGAGTGGAGGCCCTTGCCTCTCCCCAGCAGCATCTAAAGGGTCTTTTTAAATCTACCTGGGGAGAGGTGGGGAGGGAGGCCACACACACTTGTACCCTGAGCCCCGAATTCAGGGTTCAGAGTGCAGGCACGCAGCCCCCCCTCTCCTCAGCAGCATCTAAGGGTCTTTTTAAATCCCACTGGGGAGGGGGGAGGCCAAGTGGTTGCTCTTGGGGAAGTCCAGCTGGCGGGCAAGTGGGAAGGATCCCCTCCAAATTGGGCAACCCCCACCAAGATGGTGGGTCTGGCAAGCCTAAGAGGAAATGCAAAATGCAATTTAACAAGGATAAGTGCCAAGTTCTACATCTGAGTAACAAAAATGAGGAATGCACATACTGGGTGGAGGATACACTTCTGGGTAGCAGTGTGTGTGAACAAGATCTTGGGGTACAGGTGGACAGTAGGTTAAATTTGAGCAGCCAGTGTGATGCGGTGAAAAAAAGGCTAATGTGATCTTGGTGTGTATCAACAGAGGCATAATATCCAAATCGCAAGATGTCATAGTCCTGCTGTACACTGCATTTGTCAGGCCGCATCTGGAGTATTGTGTGCAGTTCTGGAGGTCTTACTTCAAAAAGGATGTGGACAGAATGAAGCGGGTGCAGGGGACAGCAGTGAGGATGATTGGGGCCTGGAGACCAAGCCCTAACAGGAAAGGCTGAGGGGCTTGGGAATGTTTAGTCTGGAGAAGAGGAGGTTGAAGGGGGACATATTGCTCTCTTTAAGTATTTGGAAGGCTGTCACTTAGAGGAGGGCAGGGAGCTGTTCTTGTTGGCAGCAGAGGATAGGACTTGCAATAATGGGTTTAAATTACAGGTGGGAAGCTACCAGCTGGACATTAGGTTTTTGGATTTTTTTACAGTAAGAGTTGTTCAGCAGTGGAATCAGCTGCCTAGGGAGGTGGTGAGCTCCCCCTCACTGGCAGTCTTTAAGCAGCAGCTGGACAAACACTTGTCAGGGATGCTCTAGGCTGATCCTGCATTGAGCAGGGGGTTGGACTAGATGGCCTGTATGCCCCCTTCCAACTCTGTGATTCTATGATTCTATTAAATAGTGTGTGTGGGGGGGTATACAGAAGAAAATATATCTTCACTGGCAAGTCTTTGCTGATTCCCTGCTTGTTCTATTCATTTTAAATTGTAATGGTTTAACTGCGCTATGTAAACTGCCTTGAGCCTAAAGGGAAGGTGGGATATACATATTTTAATACAGAAATAAATAAATGTTTAAACAAATAAATAAACATTGAAACAAATAAACTTTGAAAATGAAAATGATTTTCAATTCTATTTTAAAGCCTAATAAAAAAGTAGAATGTTTAATCCCCTGCTGTTAGCTAGATGCTGGTTTTTTTGCTTTTTTACATAACTTTGTATGTCTTTAAATTAGGGATGCTTAAACACTCACTGGTTCAGCTCATGTCCTGCTTGCTAGTGGTTAACAGAGAACCAGTTTTTCAACAGAGTATTTTGTTAACCAGCTAATGTCCATTCAACAGATTCCTTCACTGTATTTCTTCCAGCAGTGCAATATATTGCAATTGCCTTTGCATGCAGCATTTCCCCTGCCTGAGTGCTTTTTTAGTTTACTTCTTTAAATCAGTATTTGCAGTTGTGTCCTAATGTTCTAACAATCTACTGCCATAATCTCTCAATGCCCGTGTTTCTTTTTAAAAAAATTCTCTAGTCCTGTTTTGATGGTGATTTATGGTGGGCTTTTTTTTTAATGAAAGCAGGGAAATCAGAGATCATGGCAGTATGATCTGGCCATGGTGATCCAGGAACTCAGCACATCCATGTTAAATTACTGTAATCTGCTTTACATGCAGTTGCCTTTGAAAACTTAACAGAAACGTTAGTTGGTCCAAAATTTGCCAAGCCAGCTGTTGTTAGGATGGGGATACAAGGATCATATAATCCTGATGCTCAAAGTTCTGCACTGGCTCCCCATCTTCCTCCTCCTCTACTATCCAGCCCATCAATTAAAATCCTGTTCTCAAGCCCAGTATCACTGCTGATGCTTGGCTCCTAAGTTGGAATTCATATACAGATTTGATAGTAACAAACATGAACTCAGTAGGGACACAGTTAAATCAGTCAAACCGGGACTTAGTTAGCTTTAAAGAAAGTATTTGTTCCCTCTTACAATACAGTGGACAAACACTTCATAGGGGATTTCCCACATCTAGGTCTAGTTGCCCACCAAAGCGCTAGATGGCAACAGGGGAAAAGTAAAGGGGAAAACCCCCAGTCTTACTGGACATAGATACAGTATTTACTGGACGTTGATATAGGAAGTAACAGGGGTAGCCCTAGGGACCACTTGAAATTCTACTACCCTTGTCACTTCCTGTATCAACTTCCAATGAGTACACAAGGCTGTATTTAATATATATATGCTGCAACACTGTGCACCCCCCCCCACAACTCTCCCACCATTCACCAGGCACTGCTTGGTAACCCTACTATTCTGATTTATCCACTATGTCAATTTGTCAACAGCTGTGATCAGCTCACGCCAGCTCTGAGTGGATCATTTGTTGACTGGATCTTGTTTTCACCTGTGCTATGCAAATACTGTTGCACACTTTTTTCTTGTAAACACCTTTTATATCTTTTTGTGATGACTCTTCTCCCCTGTTTGCTATCTGAAGTTCTGGATTTGCATATGTTTGGCAACTGAATGTAACATTTTATCACTTTGATAAAGTGCATACGTGCTCACAAAAGCGTATGCCACAAAAAAATAATTAGTCTTTATGGTACGACAAATTGCTTTGTTATTTCTACTAAAGATGCATGAACCAAGGGCCCATAGATAAATCTTGATTTTGGATTCCCAGTGGAGGTCATTTGACATTACACATAAGACAGAGGAACTGAGAAGGACAGAACACATTGGTAGAAGATTTATGCTCCAGTCTGTCTTTTAATTCACTTCCTTTGTTCCTTTTTTGTCTAATTTAGATTGTGGGAGGGAAATTAGCATGATGTAGTCCGGTCTCCTCAGATCTTGGAAGCTAAGCAGGGTTGGTACTGGGAAGGGAGACCACCAAGGAAGTCTCTGCAGATGAAGGCAATGGCAAACCACCTCTGCTTCCCACTTTCCTTTACAGCCCCTTGCTCAGGCTGCTATAAATTGGTTGGGACTTGACGGCACTTTACACATACACGATTAAGATGGTAAACCTTGGTGGGACATTTTTATTCTCCCTGACCCTCAGGGTGGCTGATTTAAATAAATAAATAAATAAATGATTAATATTCTGCATACTAAAATTGGCACTAGTGATAGTGTTTACAACAAAATAAAATCACAAGAGCACTACAGAGCTATATGCAAACAACATTCTTGTACGCTGGAGAGAGAAAGAGTAAATCAGCATAATTCCTGTTGGAACTGTTAGGGGTTTTTTTCTATTGCTGGAGCATTTCTCTTTAAACAAAACTAATACCATGCCTCCCGTGTTCTTTATTAAGTTGCCTGTCATTGATTGCCTGGAATACTTAGAAGAGACTTTTAAATTCCAAAACAATTGCCTGTGTGTACACTCAAATGTCAACATTCATATTAAGACTAGAAAATGCTACATTCACATTTGAGAATCGCAGAATAAAGCATACATTTGTTTTTGTGTTCCAAATGAAGAAACAAGGAAAGTACACACACCTGATTAGTGCTCATGTTAATCCCAACAAGAAAAATAAGTTCCGCCAGGAAAAGACTGCAACAGAGATTTTTATGAATTGTTGTTCTCGTACTTTGTATTTCACTGAAGAACCAGAATGTGAAAATGCACATGGAGAGGCAAATCAACGAGATAATTATTCCTAGCTGAGTGATTCTTGTAAGAATATAATCCTTGACATCCTGGGGGGGAAATTATAATATAATATTGATGAGAAATGGCTCGATAACGTCTTTAAAACTTTATGCAATAATACAATCCTAGGTTTTTATACCTTCAATCCTACAAACCTTTGTATTTTTTTGCATTATCATTAATAGGAACATGGTACAAATTTATAATAATTTCAGTAAAATTGTTTCCTATGCCAGGTATAATGTTTTTTGGGGGAAAATCTATAGCAAGACCTTGGCTGTGATCCAGTATTTACTGTATGCAACTGCAGACTATGATCCAAATGTTGTGTGCAAGAAAATGTCTTACTTCCAACAGGTCAACACTGTTCACTTGGGAAAAAGAAAAGGAAATGTCCTTCTACTTCTTAACAGGAGATCAGCATCTTCAAAGGTGACAATGCATATTATCTAGTACAGTGAGGGATGAGCAGAACTGCTGCATTGGATCCAGCCAGGGCTGGGGTGGAGGGTTTGCTCCATCTTGTCCAATTTGTTTTGCTCCATCTAGGCCAATTTCAACCTCTGTTCCACATGGCTTTGTTCATGCAGGTCCCATGACCCCAATCATAGCCTTTTTGGTTGTCAAAGGGGACCCCTTCATCTCCTTTTCATCAGTGGAAAAACTGGTTGTATCCAACCCACTGTATGTCCCAAAGGTACATGCATTTGATTGATATATCATTGCTTTTCATGATAGTTAGCAGCATATGTGCTTAACATTAGTTTTTAATACGTCACACATTTTAGTCTGTAAAGTACTGTGAAACTCCCATCTGTTGCTCACACTGAACTTCCTTCAATCTTCAGTAGCTGACTGGCTTTTCCACACTAGGTGACCATGTCTATCCCAGCATGACAGATCCACTGTGGATCAAGAGGGAAGAAGGTGATATAATAGTCTGTCGCTTGATCATATCTGCATCAAATGTGCCCAAGTGCTGACCACAGTGAAGGAGGTGGGGTTGTGTACATAGGGTTGCCAACTTCAGATTGGGAAATTCCTGGTGTGCATTTTGGGGTGTATCCTGGGGAGGACAGCATTTGGGGAGGGGAGGAAGCTCAGCAGATGAAGTCCACTTTCTTCATTTTCTTCAGGGGAACTGAAGTTTGCAGTCCAGAGATCACTGATAATTCTTGGAGACCTCCAGGCCTCCCCTGGAGGATGGCAGGCCTAGCATACAAATGCATCACAACCAAGCCCTCCCCTATTGCCACTTGGTCCCTGGAGTAGGGTTGCCAGTCTATCCCCTGCCCCCAGCTCATGTGTCCCACCTCTGCTCAGATCATTCCTAGATGGTAAAATGAGAACAGCAGTGGCTTATGTCAAAATTTTGTTGAAATGATGTCTTATACAAAGATAATAAAGTAGTTTGTGAACTACACAACACTTTAGTACCAAAAATAAACATGGGTGAACTGTTTACTCAGCTCTTAGAGTAGGCAGCAATGATTGTAAAAGAGAAAAATGTGCATCACATTGTTATAATGGATTACTGAGATATTCTGGAAGTGTAAAGGTCAGGGACAATCTAACGATGGAAGTATTTAATTCTGAAGAATTATTCCATTGTGTATTGGCTCAGCAAGGCAAAGTGATGGAACCAAGTGACAGAGGTGGAAACGGTACTTCAAATCTAAAGTGGAAAAGATCTTACACTTTAAAGAAAGGTGCCAGTCAGTAAAAGAAATCAATGAACACTACATTAAAAAGCACTTACAACATTTGAGTCATTTGAGGACATCAAAACAGCAAAATGAGTCAGATGATTACATCTGCATGAGGTATGAGTACTATTAAAATGTGCTCTCTCACATCCTTCTGTAGACCAGTTTCCTTCCATTGTATCTTCTGAATAATTCCAAAATGCACATTTAATATCCTTTTTGTCTATAGCCTGGAACAGAAATAAAATGTATTATGAATGGGGGGAAAAATCACTCAGTAAGAAAGACATTAGCCAAATCAATCTATTACTTGGTTATATTTTGATAAAGGTACCCCTAGACCTTTCCTTTAATAATCCATGGTAAGAAGCATCACATAAATAAAAACAAAAAACAAAACAAGGAAATCTACATAAACATGAAGCAAAATAGGTAAACAAATGCATACCAATAAAAGATACATCTGCTTTGTACTACTTTTCAAATATTCTCCCTGAATTCCACCCAGGGCTCTAGTCGGGGGGGAGCTCTCAGGTACGGAGCTCCGGAAGAGAACCTCTAGGGGGCGGGGCGGTCACGTGGTGAAGCCCCGCCCCCTTCTTTACCCCGCCCTCTGCTTCGATCCTCATTCCATTTGGGAATGAGGATGAAGCAGGAGGGTAAGTAGCCGGGCCTTCTGACACACTTCCGGTGATGTCAGGGGGTGTGGCCTTCTGTCACTTCCGGTGATGTCAGGGGGCGTGGCATATGCAAATAAGTTATGCTAATGAGTTATGCTAATGAGCTCCGGCAGCTCTTTTTCTACAACAAGACCCCTGATTCCACCCATAAACAGTCAGCATGGTACTTTTTTAAAAATGATGCTATTCCTATTTTCCTTCAATGGCCAGGTCTTCCCACTGTTTGTTAACTTACTTTTCTGAGTCTCTGAGGTGGATACCTTTTTACCCTGGACTTCATATATTCTTTCCCCCCCTTTTTTCTGTTTGCAGAAGATCTTTAATTTTATATTTCACATCATTTAACCTCATACTTGCCCTGACCTGGATGGGTCAGGCTAGTTTGATCTATAACATCTCTGAAGCTAAGCAGGGTTGGCCCTGGTTAGTACTTGGATGTGAGACCTTCAAGGAGATCCAGAAGCAGGCAACGACAAACTACCTCTGTTTATCTCTTGCACTGAAAACCCTATGGCATCTCCATAAGTTGGCGGTGACTTAATAACACTTTCTACCACTCACCCTCATACTTCTGCAGATAACTCTTCCAATGTATAATCTAGAAGGACTATCCACAATAGAGCACACATTTTGCATGTGTCTCCCAGGTACAAACCCTTTATTTATTTATTTTATTTATAGTTAAATTTATATCCCACACCTCCCCACTGTAGCAGGCTCAGGGCGGCTAACAACATATTTATATTTATATTTTATTTTATTTTTATTTTTATTTGATTTTTATCTCGCCCTCCCGCTGAAGCGGCTCAGGGCGGCTTACAACAATAAAAATAATAAAACAATGCCTCTAAAACAATATACAATACATTAAAATCACAATTTACCCACATTATAACATACACATTATAAAATACACAAGACGGCGACTATAGATGCTGACATCCTCAATCTAAGTTGTTGAATGCTTGGCGGAATAACTCCGTCTTCACCACTCTCTGGAACTGGCGGAGATCCTGGAGAGCGCGGATCTCCTGAGGGAGCTGATTCCATAATGTTGGTGCTGCCAAAGAGAACGCCCTAGTTCTAGTAGATGTTAGTTTGGCGTCCCTAGGGCCAGGGGGGACTAATCGATCCTGTGACTCAGATCTCAGTGCTCTCAAGGAACATACGGGGAAAGGCGGTCCCGCAGGAAGGCAGGCCCCAGACCATAAAGGGCTTTAAAGGTCATAACCAGCACCTTGAAGCGTATCCGGAAACTATTGGCAGCCAGTGCAGCGCCCTCAGCACCGGCTGGATGTGCTCCCGCACAGGGGCACCCGCCAGCAGCCTGGCTGCGGCATTCTGCACCAGCTGCAGTTTCCGAAGTTGCCCCAAGGGCAGCCCCATGTAGAGAGCATTGCAGTAGTCCAATCTCGAGGTGACCATCGCATGGATCACTGATGCCAGATCATTGCGTTCGAGGAAGGGAACCAACTGCCTAATCAGTTGTAGATGATAAAAGGCTGCCTTGGCAGTGGCTGCTACCTGGGCCTCCATTGTCAAGGAGGCATCCAGGAGCACTCCCAAACTCCTGACCCTCGGAGCTGGCACCAATGGCGCCCCACCGAAGGCCGGGAGCCCTACCCCCGTACTGCTCCGATTCAGGCATAGGACCTCCGTCGGATTTAGTTTCAGTCGACTCTGTCCAAGCCAGTCCGCTACGTCCCGCAGCACCCGGTCCAGATTTTCCAGGTTAGAGCCAGTCTGGCCGCCCAACAACAGATAGAGCTGGGTGTCATCAGCATATTGATGACAACCCAGCCCATGCCTCCGGGCAATCTGGGCAAGGGGGCGCATATAGATATTAAACAACATCGGCGAGAGCACAGCTCCCTGTGGCACTCCACACTCTAGTGGATGCCTCTGGGATGTATTCTCGCTGAGCGCCACCCTCTGTCCCCGACCTTGGAGAAAGGAGAGAAGCCACTGCAAGGCAAGCCCCCGAATCCCCACGTCAGCGAGGTGGTGGGCGAGCAACTGATGATCGACCATGTCGAACGCAGCCGACAGGTCCAACAGCAGAAGCACCGCCGTCCCGCCCCGATCCAGATGCCTACGGAGGTCATCCATGAGGGCCACCAGTACTGTCTCAGTCCCATGGCCCGGGCGGAAGCCGGACTGGAACGGATCCAGCACGGAGGTGTAATCCAGAAAGGCCTGCAACTGTGCTGCCACCGCCCTCTCTATTACTTTGCCTAGATAAGGCAAATTGGACACCGGCCAGTAGTTGGCCAAATCGGCCGGGTCCAGTGCTGGTTTTTTTAGGAGAGGGTGGACTATCGCCTCCTTGAGAGCCTCCGGGAACAGACCCTCCGAGAGGGATCTATTCACAATATCCCGAAGAGGACCTCGCAACCCCTCTCGGCCAGCTTTAATCAGTCAAGAGGGGCACGGATCAAGGTTGCAAGTAGTTGGGCACACAGCCGAGATCAATCTGTCAACCTCCTCTAGACCGAGAGGGCCGAAACAATCCAGAATGGGACCTGAAGACGTGCTAGGAGCCTCGAGTTCACATACTGTCTCAAGTGTGGCTGGGAGATCACAACGGAGCAACAAGACTTTATCTGCAAAGTGCCTCGCAAACGCCTCACAGCCAATGTCCAATTCCTTAATCTTTTGTCTGCTCTGAGGCAGGGTGGTTAATGACCGAATCGTTCTAAATAATTGTGCCGGGCGCGAGGTTGCAGACGCAATCTCAGCTGCGTAGAACTCCTTCTTCGCAGCTTTGACCGCCATCTCATACGACTTCATAAACGTTCGATGCTTGAGGGCGCAGAGGACGTCTAGGTGCGATCTCCTCGATGTCCGTGGAGAGTCGGTTATTCCAACTCTCCACTAACTCATCTAACGAGTCACCAGGGGGCAGTGTATCCCGAAGAGCCATCTGAAGCCGCTCCGGGTCCATCAGGCTCCGCGGGCGAGCCCAAATTGGCTCGCTGCCCAAACAGGGTTGGGGTGAGACGTTCACTTGGGCCTTCAGGGCATAGTGGTCCGACCATGGAACTGCCGAAGCAGTAATTCGGTCCACTGTAATCCCCGCTGCGAAGATCAAATCAAGTGTGTGACCGGCTTGTGTGTGGGAACTGTTACACATTGGGAGAGTACCAGCGTCGCCATGGACGAGGCCAGGTCCAAAGATCGGGTGGAGGTTGCGTTGTCAACATGGACATTGAAATCCCCCAAAACTAGTAGTCTGGGGTGCTCCAACGCCCAGCCCGACACGGCCTCCACCAGAGCTGGCAGGCTGCTTGCCGGTGCGTTGGGCGGACGGTACAGTAACCAGACAGCCAAACTCTCCCCAGCTTCCCACACAAAGCCAGCACATTCAATGCCCGAGATCCTCACGGCCGGGAGGGCCCTGAAGGAGTAAGCCTCCCGAACGAACAGGGCCACTCCTCCCCCCGCCCTTTTGTCTGGGATTGGTGGAGGACCGAGTAACCGAGTAATGGGGGAGCCATCTGGGAGAGCGCTACTGTCTCCCCATCTCACACCCAGGTCTCGGTCATGCACGCCAGGTCCACATCCTGATCCATGATGAAATTTTGGAGAACAGAGGTCTTATTATTTATGGACCTGGCATTTCACAACACCAATGTTGGAGAAGGGTTCTTCTTCACTGCCCCACTCCCTGCCACCTTTGGGATGGGACACAGGCTGGATGGGGGCCGAGCTTCTCTGTTTCTCAGCTCCCTTCCCTTCAATTTCCGCCTGTTCCCACCGCTATACCTTCCCCTCCCCAAGAGCACTTGAATTCCCAGCCCTGCCACTTCTGTACCAGTTGGTCTTTGAGTGCCCCTTGGCACGTCCACAGACTCAACCACAAGGCTAGAAGAGGTACACACCCGCTAAATTGTTTCCTATTTCCGTGGAGCGCTACAATACTAAATAACAATATCCCTTTACTCCAATAGCAAGTCCCTGCCAGTGAATTCAATAAAGGCAAGGGAAACCTATTTAATCAACGTGGCAATAAGCATACCACTCCACTATTTGCATAGTAGCCCATCCACTATTTATCCTACAAAACAAGAATGCCCCTCTTATTCATTAACTATTAGTATCTACAACTGAGTAGTACAAGCTCCCTCCCTATTAATTAATAAATCAATTTGGTCCTTCAACTACTACTCACTAATTAATCACCATTTAATAATTTTAGCAATCTGATTCATTAATTGATTTGGCTAGTGCAGGTAGCCCTGTCAATCCGGGTTAATCCACACTCCACACTCCACATTGCTCTCCTCTTCACCATACTCTTAGGCTGTTCTGCTGTTGTTAATATCGCCCTGATGTTGTAGTCCTAGTGACACACCAAGGGCCTCCAATTACAGTCCCAGATCCTGGGCTCAGGCTCAGCTCCACAGGGTCTGACAAGATGTAATTCCACTGAGAATCCACTGAGAATCCAACAGCCACTCCTCAGTACTCCCGCCGATCCAGCAATAGTCCCAGCAGTCACGGGGCACTCCTTTCCTGTAAACCACTCTCCGACACTCCCCACAACCCAA